AGACATGAGGAATGTCATTCAAAGGAGGAGGGCAAGCAACACTGTTAGAAGAAACAACAGGAATAGTCTTATCATCTTCACTGTCTGAACTTGAGCTTGACGATGATTCTAAAATGCAAATAATATAGTAAAAATATTCCATGGACATGCATATGCCTTACTTTGAATCTGTGGCTTAATCTTGAGAAGAGAGCTAGGTTTTATTGAGGGAACTAGAGGTGCTTTTCGAAGCTACAATGTTCAACAGTATAATGGGTTAATGGAACATTATGACTTACAGGAAGTGGTTGATTGTTTGGAAGTAAAGATGAGGTATAGTTGGTTTTTTTAGCTTCAACTTTAAGGGGAGGTAAAGTATTTGCTCTAGCAGAATAACTTGGTATACTAGGTCTGTGCATGCATAAACCAATAAAACAATAACAAAAGTAAGAAACATTAATTTCCTTACTGTGTGGGTGGTTGCTTTGACAGTCTTTCTTTCTCAATTTCACGAATGCTAACAATAGCTTGAAGACTTTGCACTGATAATTGTTCAAAAACCATTCCATTGACACTGACTGCAGTTTGACTTATAATTTCCAAATTTAAGTTCTGCTCATTGCTAACATTAAGCTCCTGGAGAATTGTTCTTTTCAGGCTATCAGTCTTAATCATCTTTGAGCCAAGATCAGTTTGAGATAGCATTAAGCAGACAGGTGAGCTAATAGCCTTACTATTATATAATCCTTTGCAAAATTTTATCATTTTTCTTGTTGTGTGTTCTTCAGTGTCATTCATTAGTAATGTATTGATTATTATCAATCGAGAGTTTCCAAAGAATCCTGGAAAAAGCAACTGAGTGAGTGATGTTGATAAACATGATTCTGTAGCAGCTTCATGGTCAGAAGAACTTAAGTTTAATAATGTGTTGTGTAAGGCAGTAAGACCATTATCAATACAAATCGAGTTTTCAGCATGAAACTTTTTGATCTGAGACCCAGCAAGGTCAACAATTATCAGTTGTGATGCAAAGACTTCATCAACCCTTGAGTCGTTATTGCAGGATTCTATGGTGTAATGAAAAACAGCATGTGTACTGTGTGGTTTATAATCTCTCAATGGGTTGAGGGATCTTGTTGCTTCATCCGATCTTAAGACTCCAGTTGCATTTCTCATTAATTGTGCTTTTTCAAGTAAATTCACAACATCCTGTGTAGTCGTTAAAGATTGCTTTGTGGCGTCAGGAAAAATGAATTTGTCATCAATCCGTTTTGTTTGCAAATTTCGCTTCCTTGCATCAAGAAGGTCTGCAACTTGTCCTCTGCTTGTTATGTGGTAGAAGCTACCTTTAATCTGAGCAATACTATTTTTGGAAGCTGCAGTCTTGATGAACTCATCCATGCAACGAACTATGATGCCTCTGGCTTTAGGGTTACTACGAGATTCGCCTGGGCTACCAAAAGCAGTGTATGATTTACCACTGGAGGGAAGACCATACAGCAGTATTATTAGACTATGACCCTCCATTGCCTCTCCAACCCAATCAGACACAGCATCAGTGAAAAACTCATCATGTGCAACATTCTCTCCAAACTGCATCCCTTTAGCAGCTTCGACTAATTCCATATCCAGGACCTTGTGCTTTTCTTCTTCTTGGCATGGTTTGCATCTCAGGACTAGCCTTTGAGAGGACATTTTCTGTATTTGTTATGACTGGTTGCCAACAACACCTTTCCATGAATATCTGAAATTGAATTAAGGAGGTGTGGCTTGAGTTTATGATCGATATAAATTAAGAAGGTGTGGCACAATCGATAATTATTATTGCACTTGTGTGGGTGTGTGCTAACTGCTAATTGATAAAACAATGGCCTTGGTGACTAACATATCTCAATGGATAGAAGAAAACAAGTCTTCATTTGTTCCTCCAGTCTGTAACAAGTTGATGTAAGTCATAGACCCTTCTCATTATTAGTCACTGCCTTATCCTCACTCTCAGGCACGGGAAGGGTCAGTTGAAGATCATGTTTATTGGTGGACCAAATCAGCGCAAAGACTTTCACATTGATGAGGGAGAAGAGGTAATACTAGTAATACACACTTGTAGACTTTACCAGCCACATAATGCATAAGATTAATATTTGCATGTTTACTAGTGGCAATGCTGCAGTTATACAGGTTTGATGGGCATATACCACCCACCCACCGACCAGACAAGAAGATTATCTAATCTATACCATGAGCTGAGCTCCTGATACTAAGATTTCATAAACCACAATGAGTCTTAACCGGGCTCCTGGTCTAACCCATGACATGCCCTACCTTATCTATGGAGGCTTCATTGGCTTCATTGACTTACTTGTCAAAACACTCAACAGTGCTATAAAAACATACATATTCTATGGGCATATAACACCCACCACAGCACATGCACATCAAAGTAGCACATGCCCATACATGCCCATAGGATAAGGTGATTTAATTATTTACTGGCACTAGTGTAGGTTATTCTAAGAACTGTGACATCATTTTGTTAAAGTTTGTTATATCACTCCTATATCTTCTGTGTGGTACAGGATGTTTTAAAAGACTCCCCCTTTGTAGGTTTATTTATGTAGACTACAGATTATAGGGAAAGTTTGAGAGATTTCATTAGTTAGGGCCCTTGTTTGTAATAGATTGTGATATCACATCTACTCTGTATTGCTGTAATTTGTTTTTTGTAGCCATTTTTTATTGTAGTTTTAGGTCATGTGCACATAGTGAATAGGTTTACCCACATTATTTTTGTATAGTACAGTTTAGTACTCATACAGCTTCTTGTTAAATTTGCTCAAAAAGCCTTGTACTATAGTTTGTCAAAGCAACCAGGAGAGAATTCTCTATTTTTATAATTTTTCTGATACAAATGCATGTTCTTATTTTGTGTATCAACATTGAGCTGATTCCAATCAAGTTTGGATGTTTTACCTTAAGATTACTTTTAAATACGGGTACTATTAATTACGAATTTTGCGTTTGGGTTAAAATTGCAATTATTAATACGCGCAATTATTAATAATGACATCATGATGCCATATAACTATTAGTAATAATTACTTAATCGCAATTTTTAATACCAGCAGAATCTACCTTGTGCTAAAATCGTAAAATTTAGTACCCGCAATTAAAGGTCACTCTAAGGTATGAATTTTATAAAATTGCTCAAAAATCAGACCATGTCAAAAATGGCCAAAAAAGAATTCTCAATTTTTATAATTTTTTGATACATACATGTATACAAATTTTTATGCTGTGTATCAACTTTAGGCTAATTCCAATTAAATGTGATTTTTTGTGAATTTTTCAATTTGTTAAAAAGGCTGGATTTTGTCAAAAAGGGCTATGAGAGAATTTTTTCATTTTTTACTTTTTTCTAATACACAAACATATTCTTTTGTTATCTATCAACTTGGAGCTGATTCTGGCAAAGTTTGAATTTTTTATGAATTTTAAAAGCTGCTCTAAATGCCATGTACTATAGTGCAGTGCTTATGAGCTCATCAAACATGCTGCTTTGTGGTAAATCCTGACAATGAAATATTGTTTTTCTCTTTTTTAGTTCTTCTATCAAAAGAAAGGTGACATGGTTTTGAAAGTCGTTGAAAAAGGTGTTCACAAAGATGTTGTCATAAAAGAAGGAGAGGTACGATTATTATTATTATTATTATTATTATTATTATTATTATTATTATTATTATTATTATTATTATTATTATTATTATTATTGTTATTATTATTATTATTATTGTTATTACCAACCAAAATACACCAAGTAGGACAATGGTAGTTTAAGAATAGAAATAAAGTCGGAAATAAAATAAAATAAAATTAATGTAATAATAATTTATTCGTTTTAGTGCATAATAAGGTTAAGGGGGAACTGTCGGCCATATTAATTGATCTCCATTTGGTACGCATGCCAATAATAATAATAATAATAATAATAATAATAATAATTATTATTATTATTATTATTATTATTATTATTATTATTACTTTTCTGTCTTCCTTTGATTTTCTTATTATTATTTTTGTCAGTGTTAATACATTTGTTATTTTATTATTATTATTGTACGTTCTACTTTCATACACTTTCTTTTTTAGGTATTTCTGCTCCCTAGTTGTATCCCTCACTCACCTCAGCGTTATGAAGGAACTGTTGGCTTTGTATGTTATTATGAGATAATTAAATTAAGTATGTAAAATAGGGTCCCCTTATTTAGTGAGCAAATGTGCTCACCAAGACTATAATAGTGATTTTCACACCACCATTTTATTGCTGTTTAGCAGCTTAGTTAGCAAGTCCTTAAGTAGTGGACTAAGCTATTTATAAAGAGAGAAAGAGAGGGTCCTCATATTACCCTCTTCCTTTGTGGTCGACTCAATGTAAACATGATTAGAGACCTTCACAGCACACATGTGTACATGTATCAAGCAGTTAAATACAATATATATTTATAAGATATCCTTAGACTATAATCCAAACATAGGAATGATTATTTTGATGTGCCTAATGCTTAGTATAGTTAGTGAAAAAATGAAATGCATATATTAAGGCATTAAAGAGCAGGGTTTCTCACTGAGCATATGCTTTGTGAGCTAAAAAGCATGTACATGTACATGGCTTTTGAAGCAGCTTTAAAATTCATGAAAAATTTCATTTTAATTTAATCAGTCAGAATTTTTATGCAGCACAAGAACATGTATGCATCAGGAAAAAGTAAATTTTCTCCTGACAATTTTTGACAAAATAACCTATGCTATAGTTTGTCAAATTTTCTAAAATTCTTAAAAATTTAATGGACAACTGTGTCAAAATCCTATGGGAAACCCTGTACTGAAGCCATGGGACTGTTATTTTTGCAAGAAATGTCTCAATTTTAGTTTAAAATGTAATTAATTTTATTATAGTTAAAACTGTATAATTACACAGTGTACATGTAGGTAATGGAGAGGGAGAGGACAGAGGATGAAACTGATGGTCTCCGTTATTATGTTGATGGGACTACTGATGTGCTGTGGGAGGAATGGTTTCACTGCTATGATCTTGGTACTCAGCTAGGACCTGTCATTAAGAAGTGAGTGAGCCATTATTGGCATTGAGATAAAATTGTACAGCTTTAAGTTGCATTTTCATTTTGAATTGTGTGAATGAATTTATGATTATTTAATATAAACTCGATAGTTCAAAATTTATACTAGCTAAAATAAACTGTACGTGTACATTGTATTTTGAATGTCCTTAGGTTCTTTGCTTCTGATGAATACAAGACTGGACATCCACCTGAAGGTTTGTACTAATAATAATAATAATAATAATAATAATAATAATAATAATAATAATAATGTCAATTATTGATTATTTTAGGTAAAGTATTTCCTCCTCCTCCTGTGAAATTGGATGTGACGACTTCAGTGATGAAGCCATTCAATCTTAATGAGGTATGTCATTGAACTGTATCTAATGTAGTAATAGCTGCAGATCATTCTTTAATATTTAATTTGTCACACTGAGTTAATTGACGAACTTAATCAATTAGCACACATGTATCTCTTTACTTCATTATTATAGTGGATAAGAGATAATGAGCAAGAGATCAATTCTAAAGGAAATAAAATGCTTTTTGATTGGGACGGAGAATTTAAAGTATGCAAACATAAATCCTTCATGCCCCTTTAATGCTCTCTCTCTCTCATTTGATCTTTCTAATCAGTATTGTGTGTGGGGTAGTAATACAAAGCAAGAAGGACAGAACCAAGGAGAGACGTTTCTCTGGCAATTGGTAAATTTTGTATCATATTAAAGTAAGATAAAAATGTATTAGAAAGGTGAGGCAACAGTGACAACTGACAAAGGGACAGTATCAATGGGCCCCGATTCATGTGTACTGCTTGGAGCTGGAGAAAAGTAATCAAAAATCATTTTAAATATAATAATATTAACTATTATTAGGTATTCTGTTTCCATTGCTTCTGATGGGATCGGTATAACTGTCACTACTGATCCACTCGCTAATAAAAGAAAAAGCTAAATTACAAAACATTATGTATGTATGTGTGTATGTTCTGTTATAAATAGTGTCATTACATTATATTCAGTGTTTTGATTGTCTTCTTTCTTTATTTATTGCTACCCTCCAGTGAGGTAGTCCTTCAACTGCCTCCATACAACTCATAATATATTCAAACACGAGCCCAGCGATACCCCAGAAGGGAGCATACTCAAGTGTGATCAATCCATACACGTTGAATCTAAATTCAGAATAATCCCATGAATTTGCACCAAACCTGCTAAGTATCACACCACACGAGAACTCCCATGCATAAGTCAGCAGTATGTAGAATAGAATACGAACTGGAAGTGGATCATGATGCTTCTTAGCATATTGATAGACTGATTCAGCTAAAAGGAATGTACCAAATCCGTATATGAAGAAAGACCAGATAGAAG